CTGAATGTCAGCCATGCACCAGGCTCCACACACACAAATAATGACCGAGAGAGGGTTTGTGGAGTTGAAGCAGACTTAATGACTTAAATAAAACAAGTTTGCAAGTTAGTTTGACATTTATATTACAGAGTCCATAGTTATGAAGTATTTTGTCAATTACATGGTCTATTTTGCCAATTATATTTTTGCTAATGATCTCCTTTATGCAGTGGTATAAACTTTAGGCCAAATCTCCCTGCTCTAATTTTCATAAGCCGTTATTGCTTCTCTGTACAGTCCCTGTATCTCTGCAAAAATCCATTACATTTCCAACTGTCTCGACTCCTCTTCTCTAGAGATATACAGTCTATAAGCTTTTTTTTTCTCAGATATATTTTACTTTCTTTACTGTTATACCCAGCCTAATCCTCTGAGCGCTCTGTGTGTATATGCGAAGAGACAGGAGAATCGACAGTAACAGGTGGCAGTCCTGACTATAAAGGAGAAGGCTCGCACTGATCTGGAGCTGGCCGACTGCCAACTCCACCCAAAGACGGAGACGAAACCACATTCATGCAGGCCATGACGTGGAGGGAGAGAGAGAGCTATACACACCAGATTGGGTATTACAGTTGAGAGGGAGGAAAGAAAGAAAGAAAAGAAAAAAAACGAGACAAGATGATGAGGCTATCGGGGTTGTTGCAATGAAAGCGCGGAAATGGCTGATGGGAAATGGGCAGAGAGTCAGTGATAGGGTGATATATTGTGGAAGGGAGGACAGATCTGGGTTAGATACAGGAAGTAACAAGAAGGAAGAAGGATTCAACACAAGATTGCATATTTCGCAAGATCTCGCCTCTCCATAAAGCAGTGGGAATTGCATATAGGGCTTTCAGGCTGTACATTATTACTTTCCATAAATATCTTCAAAGCATGTATTTAAAGGCTGATTTCACAGGAGATTTTAATTGGTAGGAATTATAAGTATTGTACATGGTTGCATTCGGCGGTAATTGGATGGTTTTCATATTTTCACTGGTGAGAAAGAGATTACTATGATTGGTCATAAGTGTTTTGATTGGATAATATTGAGGGAATGGGTAGTACTTTTCAATGAGAGTTCAAGTGTTCATTTTGTTCTTTGTTTTCATCAGTGAGAAAGAATAAATGGTGGTTGAATGAAAGGGCTGACCCATTATGAGAATTGTAGTGCGTAACAACAGTTTTTATCAGAATTTTTGATAGTTTCCGAGATGGAAAAGTTAGAGTGACCTCGTTCTTGCAAATGCCTCATCCTTGTGCTTCTCTGTATCAGACAGTGATGGAGGATCTACTGCATGGGAACAGATCTGACAAGATACTTACTCTGAAGAATAAGGAGAACAGCTTTTCATAATCCTCTATTGTTGTGGAGTTTTGAATCTGTCTGTGCAAACTCACAGTCATCCAGGTAAGTTACATAAAGTTTCAAAAAGTAGTTTCTGTGCTGAAGGTGTTTCATCCAGGAAGATTATTAAGTTCTTTTAAGAGTGTGATGTCACCCATAGCGTTCAGCTCCAGTCAAATGAAGCAGTTATAGCAGTTGTAGAAGCGAATTTGGAGCCAGTTCTATATTAGGAATAGAAATGTACAAAATGACACAATAGCAAAATAAAAACCAGGATCATGAAGAGCGGCTTTATAAGAACATTTTAAGACCAAAATGACGTGACTGCAGCAGTTACAGAGAGTGGGATGAAAATGCTTTCAGTAGTAGATGGAGGTGAGTGCGCCCCCATGAGCACTTCCTATTTGGAACGAGGTGGCTCGTGAGTTAGCTATGTCCATTTATATATACAGTTTATGCTGATAATGAACAGATTTTTGGTGTGCTTGAAAACCACTGTGAGAAAAATACTGTTCTAAGGGGAGTTAGTGATGAAACCAAGTCTTGCCCATTACAGTGAATGGGTCTCAGGTCAGCTATAGGGTCACTACATGAGGCCCATTAGCAAAGCAGTCAGGTATTGCAATAAAACACTTGTAATTGAATACATGAAAATTAGATAAAGTTTAATGCCATACTGTAGTGCATTCTAGGCCAGGGGTCATCAAACTTTTTTCTCTGGGGGCCACATTATTGCTCCTGACTGTGATGGGGACCGCAGTCAAGTCGGCCGTACAACTGACTTATATGACCCTGACGTCACAGATGATATTCTTTGAAAACCGCCACACTTTCTTTACATATCAGACAAACTAGACGTTCTTACACTGAACAAAGTAATAATCGGTTGTCCACTGTTCTTTGAAAACTCTGCATTTTAGCACTCTGTCAACTTTTCATTTAACACTTGCCATTCTGGTGTCCTTAACTGCACTACAGAACTCTACGTGTGCTTTGACTGTCAGTTTGATCTCGAGCTTGTCAAGTGACGAAAATTCGGCAGCAAATGTAAATACGTCATATAATTATTTAAATATAATACTTCATATAAATATATATATTTTTAAATTGAAAATCAACAAAATACAAGATGGAGACATGTTATTCTTTGCCAAAAAATGGGTCATGACAACTTTTGAGAATTGCCTCATAGGACCAGTACCAGTGGTGGGAGACAGAGGGACTGGAGGGCGTGGCGGACTGGAGTTGTCTCACAAACCTTAGCAAACAATAACATTTCCATGGTGTCAAGCAGGTGGTGGACTCTTCACCAGAAAAGTTACATGGTGCACCTTTACACCAGCGTTTTACATACCACCTTTTCACCACATTGCCTGCTTTCAGAAACCACGCCTATTTGAGACCTGTTGTCAGTATTGTCTTTTTAGGTCAAGCAGGATGTGCAGACTTCCCCCTCCCCTAGACACTTCTTCCTAAATTTTTTGCTAGAATCTATAATTTTGGTAGGCACTTGAGTTCAATGCAGACGTGCAAAACCTAATTCTGTATTGTGTAATTTCTTGAAAAGTCAATTAGATGAATACAAGTTTGTTTTGAATGTGTACAATAAAGAAATGCAAATTAACTACATTTTCCAAAGTCTCAGATTCATCTTTGTGTTCAAACCTGTAATTACTGTCAGTGTGGCTGTGTACAATCACTGTATAGACAATAGCAGCCCTTTTGGCACAGATGCTATCTTTGACCTGCATAATTACATGTTTACTGCAACATGATTATAGAGCTAAAAAAGAACAAATTGACAAAACAAAACAGCCAGCCAAAACACATCGAGAAACACATCCATTTTTACAATTTCTTTTATTGGAAAATATCCACACACCATAAAAATTACATGTACAAAACTATAAGATTTCAAATTGCTTTATGTACATATTACAAAAGATAAAGCCAAAAGAAAAATCGTGAGGGTGCACGGGGGAGGGAGGGGCGGATTGTGCGATGGGGGTCAAAGGTTATCGGGTTCTCTCTCTTTTGATACTATTCCAACATGTCGGCAGGGAGCGGCAGCCATGACAGTGATGGGAGGAGTGACAGAATGAAATGAGGAGACAAAACTCACACATGCATACACACATACACATACACACACATACGCAAATGCACACACAGCTAGTCCATAGAGATTCAATGGCACCTGTAAATGAGTCAAGCACCTCCAGTCAAATTGAAAATGAAGCACCGATGATATCCTCACCATTGTGGAATAAAGGGATTTCTGTGTAAGAACTCTAGAGGGAGGAGTAGTTCAAGATTGTAATGTTAAAAGACCTGTCAACAATCAAAGCAAGTCATTTTGTGTGGTTAGAAGAATATAGATCTGTAAGTCCGACTGGCGTATTTCAAAGCATTGATATGAAGTGTTGTAATGAAATGAATGAATCTGATGATTGATGAGATGCATTATTTTTTTATCAAATAATGATATACTCGATACTCTGAAAGCAGTCACAGCACAGGACAAAAGTACTCTTATATTATCAGATTTAAATTTAAAGTTAAATTAAACAAAATATTCCAGATTCAGACGAATGAAGATTGGAAAAATTGTGTTTTGGGAGCGAGTAATAGTTAATAGAGTGACCACATTTTCAAATTTCAAAACTGGGACACACCCGGGTTGGGATATTTGATATAAATAAAATAGTGAAAAGAACACACTGTCCATCCTCGACTCACATGTGGGTCAGTTTATGATCTGAGGGACTTGTCTTGGTGCATTTTTTGTCTCATGCCCATTTTCAAGCACGGTTTTTGTATTTCAGGAAAAACAAATAACAATATGTTCCCGTTTTTACTGTTGGTGGGGATGAAATCAGTCAAATTGGTCATAGGTCACCTGGGATATTTCTTGTATAAAACTGGGACAAATCAGTAGTTTTGGATCAATCTGTTGAGACAGAAAACACAGGGCTCAAAACTGGGACTGTCTTGGGGAAATAGAACATCTGGTCACTCTAAATTAATAAAACTATTACTCGCCAATAGTTAACTAAGACTTCTAGTAATGCATATTGCAATTAACTGGTAGTTCTGGCTCTTGGTTTTCCAAAGAATACATTTTTATTAAGCCTGGGGTATGTTTTGTAGATGAGTAAATTTTGTGTTTTTCCCCAAAGAGTATAGTATAACTCCCCAATTTCTCTTCACTGTCTGAAAAACGTGGTTCTAAAGCTGTGCATATGCTGGGAAATGAATGCATGTGAATATTAACAATGTGCCAAAGGATTTGTGAGAGCTAGGGACTAGTTAGATTTAAATACTAGTACTATTTAGATTTAAACACCTACTTCCTCTTTCTGCAGTTTGAAAACTAGGTACCCATTCTTTAAATCAAACAATTAAAATTTTCCAAACTAGTAGAAAACATAAACTGTCATAGCATCCCCAAATTACCCAACAAAACATTTAAATATCACACCCCAATTTGTGATAACTAATTCAGCAGTGCGATTAGAAAGTGACAGTTCTCAGATTGGCTTTGGTCTCCGGCACTAGGACACCAGACTCCAGCTGTTCTCACATCAGATTTCCCAAACTTGTCCAGAGCTGAGTTGACTGATGCTAATAGTGATGCTAAGTGACATAATTGACGTGAATGAAGCCGTGACAGAACAGCGGTGACTGATACCCTGCTCCTCTGTTGTCTCTTGTAGCTGTTGATTTCTGGGTAACTTCAGACGTTCTTTGTGGCTTCCCTTTTGATCACTGGCTCTGCAACAAAAAAAAACAAAAACAAGAAAAGTGCCACAAATTAGTCTGTGAATTAACAGTTGTTTATGTTGTAGAAAAAGTGCTCTCCTCAAAAGACAATGTAATTTTCTTGTAATCTGCAATAAAGAACAAGGGTATGGATTAAGATGCTTATTATGTGGCTATAATAATACCCTGAAAATCTCATTTGAATTGGTTCCCAGAATGAGAATGTTTCATTAATTTGTTCTAGCCTGAGGTAAAGTATACAAAAATTGTTTTATCTTTTGGAAGAGGTGCAAGAAAATCTACATTTTGCCCCAAAAAGTTTTCAAGTTAACAAGGTATCATAAAACATTCTATATACTTTCAGGGTTCATGGTAATTACACAGATTTAGATTTCCTTTGGGATCATAAAGTATCTAAACACAAACTTGAACAAGCAGAGCTGAAGGGCCCATATTACGCTATTTTCAGACCTGTTATAATACAGTTTCCTCATCAAAATCATACATATATTCTTCACATATATTTCTCTCAAACATCTTGTGACATCATGTGGTAATACAGGAAGTGCTCCACTGTGATTTAAACTCCATATACCTTCAATAGAATCATTTGGATAATTTCAGACCAGAAATGTCCAATCTCTACTGAACAAAAGATAAAAAGTGACTGCTGACTTGGAAAATATCCACACACCATAAAAATTACATGTACAAAACTATAAGATTTCAAATTGCTTTATGTACATATTACAACAGATACAAAAGAAAAATTGTGAGGGTGCATGAGGAAGGGAGGGGCGATTGTGCAATGGGGTCAAAGGTTATTGGTTTCTCTCTCTTTTGATACTATTCCAACATGTCGGCAGGGAGCGGCAGCCATGACAGTGATGGGAGGAGTGACAGAATGAAATGATGAGACAAAACTCACACATGCATACACACACATACACACACATACACACACATACACACACATACACACACAAACGCACACAAAGCTAGTCCATAGAGATTCAATGGCACCTGTAAATGAGTCAAGCACCTCCAGTCAAATTGACTTTGAAACTACTGCTTCATGACATCACAAAGTGGAACAGAGCATTTTTTAACTTTGGAGATGTAGACTAATAAGAAAGCATTAGTCAAACATGTGTGAATGAAACAAAACACAACTCTGAGTAAATACAAGGGTTAGGGTTAATTTATTTATGTCATTTTTTCTAATTGATTATTTTATGTTGTTCCAAAGCAAAGAATCTGGATTTAAAGTTCTTAAAATAATAACATAAAATATTTAATAGGAAAAGGTGTCATATTTTTTATGTATGTTCAACATTTTGCTTTAAACTGAGGAAAGAAGAATCCAAAATCATGACCCCATATTCCCCTATTGTCAAATGAATACTGAATGTATGCTGTCAGAGCTGAAGATGTGTTCTTTGACAAAAATAAAATTGGAAATGAGACTGGAAGGGACAGCTCCTGTTGTGTGGGAGATGGAACCAGAGAAGCCAGACTGATATTGGACAGGTACAGAGGAGGGGCAGAGTCAATACGTCTGTAATAGAATACTAAAGCGTACGTGGTGCATAGGGTTACAATGACACATAAATCAATGTGAAAACCCACTACAAAGAAACAGCTCAACAGAAAAGAAAACACAACGCTTTTCATGGACATAACACATTTATGACCAATGATTTAATTGCTCGAGTGAATCCTATAGTAGAAGAATTGCTGATCTAACTTAGTCGATAACGTGGACGGCATCTGACCTTTAGCATGTACACATGATCTGCATAATGTGTACCGTGCGTAGGAAATATGTCACCCCATTAAGAGCTCGTTATAGCAACGGGGTGTCAATGCTTCTGTAAAACTATTTAATTAAAGGTTGAATGGGCGTGTGGCTATGGATTTACGAGGACTGAAAATGAAAGCTGTGGCCCGGCCCACCATCGCTCTCCTTGTTAAACTTGGACAAATTTCCTGCTGTTGGGCTCATTAGCTGTAATGCGAACACGCCGAGTGATTAGTTGTCATTTTGTAGGTATATGTCTTGAGGGGGCCTGCAAACTAATGCACTGGAACCAGCTGTGAAAAGTAAAATGGGAACTAAACTATACATAAAAAAGTGCTATGATAAGGATTGTCAATGGATTCATTTTAAGGTGCATTATGTAACTTTTTGGTTTAGGATCCGTCACCTCTCTCCGTCTATGGATATGTCATTGCCTTGCCTGGAATGTTCCACAGTATGACATTAAACAGCTCTACCTTACATTTATTAAATTACATTGGTTTTATAGCTCAAAAATACCTATAAAATCAGGCATTCTGACTTTTTAAAAATCATTTTAGGTTGTTGTAAAGTTCTGAAATACCTTATAGTAGGGATGTAACAATAACCGAAATATCGTGTTATCGTATCGTCAAAGTTCTCACAATAATATCATGGACCATCACAATATATCAAACAAATCTCTTTAAGAGTTATGGTGTAGCAGTAGCTAAAAAAAGACAGAGGGAACTACACTGACCATGATCCTTTGCTCCATTTCAGTGCAGACTACATGAAGAAATAACACTTCTAAGCACTTTTAATTCTTAGTTGTTTGGATTAAGACTTGTCAAGGCATTTTAAGAGGAAAAAGTAGCATATTAACAGTTTTGTTAGCCTCCGCAAAATATTGTACCGAGAGATTTGGATATTGTTAAATCCCTAATCGCGAGCGTCCCTGCCATATCATGAGGTTTCCCATAATATCGCAATAAATATCGTACCATGAGGTTCATACCATGACGATATCATATCGTGAGACTTGGATATCATTACACCCCCACCTTATTGTAGTAAATATAGAATAAAAACAACAATTGGATTAAACATATTGCTTATTTTTTGTAAATTACTTCAGTTTGTTAATATGAATTACAGTGGCCTATAGTCTTGAAAATGTGAAAATTCTGGCTGAAACAAAATCTGAATGTCCAAAAGCTCTCAAAATGGCACCCATAGCAGGAAAAAAATCATGTGACATCCATCAATACGCCGAGGTTAGTAACTTACTTCATTAACGCTACATGCAGCAGGCAAAAAAAAAAAGTCGGTGTGATGAATAGCATGAAATAGACATGTCTACATAGTTACACAGAGATGCTAAGTGTTTCTGACGACTGTTAATGGGCCGCCAATCCCTCTCCAGTCATGTTGGTGTGATGAAATAGCAGCACAGCTCACATATGGGTCACTGGAGCACATGGATGTCATCAGCAGACTCAATAATGACAGCGCCTTTAGCTAGCAGCGCTCTTATGAACGCCTCCAGAGCAGAGTACTCATATGTGCGCAACACTATGAGCATTTCAATCATAGACACTCCCAGAGTTTCATTTTAATGATCCTTACAGACACACACACACACACACACACAGAAAAACATACTATTTATTATTATTTTTATTTTTTTTCCTTAAACTGCAACATAGGTAGATCACCACTAATGTTTTATTCATTGTAAACTGTATTATTAATCTTAAATAAGTGTAATAGAAATGGGACCAGGGACTTCCAGTTCAAAGAGAAGCCCTGTCTCATCAGAGTGACTTTTTAAATGTAGGTATTTTATTCTGTGAAGAATGGCAGCTAAACCACTGGGAGTCTTGATTTGTCAAATAATCACAACTAAAGACAGGACTGTGGTGATAGGGGGTCGGTGAAAACAGAGATTTTCTGAGCACTCAATTGTAAAATGGAGCAGGATTACTCTACTTGCTTGAATCAATTATAATACAACTTTGCAAAAGCTAGAGATGACGGAACAGAGGTAAAACAAGATTAAAACCTACAATAATCATAATGACACTATAGCACTGAAATCTTTAATTGGGATTTTCTTTCAAGGAAAAAAATCCACTTATATGTGTCCTCTTGAATATGTTTAAACTAAAATAAAACATATTTACTCAAAGATTCATTGAGCTGTTGCTGAGCCCAGTTTAGTGTTTTCCTTGGTCCCAAAGCTCCAATAGATCACACCAGTGGAATGCCTCAAAGCACAGATAATGTTGCTTTTAAGCATGAATTTACAAACACTATCATCTTGTGGGAATACTAAAAGAACAAACAATTATTTCCATACTCTTAAGGCAGAATGTTTCATTCTGTTTGGAATCCATACATGACTCACAAACACAGAGCTTTGGTTGTGTTCTTGAAGAATAATATTATGGAGGTTTGTCTAGAATCAATATATCTACATGTTTATGTGAGCATTTACAAGACAAAAAGATGTTACGCTACAAGACTCACAGCTGCTGCAATAAAGCATGCTCTAATCACCCATAAGTCACTGCACAGATCCGATTAATGCTGATGCATGGTTCAATAAAAATGACATACTCAGATCAGGTTGGTACAGTGATTAACCAAGATGACCTTTTCATCATTGGATAGCCTGTATGTGTTAGTATGTACTGCTATACTAAACATTTTGCAGGAAAGCAGGAAAAATGGGCAATGGTGTGAGCCATTGTAATGACAGGAGCTCAGCTTGGTCAGAAGTGCCTAAACTGGTGTTCACTTTGGGAAGATCACAGTTTTGTCTGAAACTGAAGAGAACTAGACGTCTCTGCTTTAATATTGTCTTAAATTGCAAACCCTTCACGACGAATAAAAGTATGCACTACGCATTAGTGGGTGTATGCCTCATTAGTCCAGCAGTGGGCCATGGTAGAAGAAGTATCAAGGTCATTTGGAAAGTGTTTTTGAAATCAACACTGCCACCCAAAAGTCATTTTCAATCTAAGAATAAGCAGTACCTTCTAAACATCAATTTCAAAAACATTATTCTGATGACGTCTGTTGAAACTTTAATAATCAGTATTCATTGGTTTTCGGCATAGGATAAATCCTGATTTGAAGGATTTGGTGTGGCAAAGGTCCTCTGTTGTTAAAGCAATATAACCACACCACATGCTAGCAGTCTTTTTGCATTTGTAAGAGTTAGAAA